CAGACATCGCTTAGGATATGATCAGGATGTCTGGGATTTATAGATCAAGCCCTGCCAGAAGTACACTTAAAATGAATCGTTTATCTACTGTATCTCCTTCAGTATTAAAGAGACAAGAGGAGGGCTCTTATAAGTTACTACGATTATGATGAGAGGCTGTGAATCCCCCAAGCTCCATTTTCACCTCCACGACGTTACAATTCTGGTTGTTCAATAATCTACTAATTAGAGTAAATTTTGTCAAATGTAACTTTACCAGAAACTACACACATACAAGATTTACTTTCGGATAGAGAAAAAAGGAAAGTCGGAAAATCATATATGAAACTTGTAATCGCACCTTAGATGACTCCTCAACAGTCACTTTTTCAGTGGTCTTCGAGAGTGCACTTCGTGCTGTGCGTGTAGTTTTCGCCGCATCTTTACTCTGCTCTTCGATTCGTTCTTTTTCTGCTGTCGATCGAAGCAAATCCTGCTTTACGACGTTCTTCTTCACCGACGTTGTTGCTCCCGGTTTTTCCGTCGTCTCCGCTTTACGCATTGTGATCTGAAGAAAATCCGCTAATATTAGTAACACTTGTTTCAGAATGTGAAAGTGCACATTTCTTGTGCCTTTTGAATGCGAGTTCTACTTCTCTCCATCATCAAAAATTCTTGACGCAAGAACTTCTTGCACTAGCCCAAACAAAGGATTCATCAGTCCTTGGCCTGTTCAGCAACAAAAGCATTCTCTCAAAAACAATATGCATTTCCAATCATAATTTATTACCGAAAAGATATCCTACTTTCCAATATTGAAAAACAGAACCGATCTATCTTACGTGCATAACGCCCTGAAAATAGTTTTGCTCAAGGAATAATGGCCCACGTGCCTGGGAGTCTTCTTCAGGCACCCTAAGGCTTCGTCTCAAAATTTGGCCCGAATTAAAGGCAAAAGTCGGGCTCAATAAGGGGGTATTATGGCGATTGAAACTGAGTATAGAGATGCGAAGTGGAACGACAGTGGAGAAAAAACTGAGAAAAACCGTCGACAAGGCCGTTAACAAAACCCTCTTTCCACACTAGCAGTGAAGGAGGCTGGCTTGGGAAAGAGGCACGTACAAACAAGTTTTCTGAGAGTCAGTCGTTCTATCGGTTGATACGGCAATCAACCTAGCTGATTTCACACGTTATGGCCACTTCCGGAGGTGGGCGGTCCTGGATTGACCAGGCGGCCCTGGATTGAAACCGAACGCCCCGGGGCCTTAACGGGGTTTTTCAAGGTGGGAAGTTGCTGCAATGTGTGCAGCTACCCACATACAACCTCCAGGCACGGGAAATTACTTCTCTAGCGTGCCCGAGCCCGAACTTTCATTTAAAAACCATTCTCATAGCCGTTCCCTTAAGCACACCGCACCGCAATACTGCCCTCACTGAACTATACTCAAAATCATTACTTTAGATTTTAACATGGATCATTAACTGTGCATAAATTTATTCATTCACGAAAAAAACATGAGAAAGCATATAACTATTAGGAAACGGTTTCACTGTGTAGCTTAAATATGATTACGCAACGCTTCTTCTGAAATCAGGAAAGCAGACAATTTGAACCGCGCCCTGCACTGCACAGCATCAAATTCAACCTCAGTGTTGTTAACCCATATTCTTGCGTTGGCCCAAGTGATGAACAATATACGGGGACCAACAAAATTATTTGTACCCTATGCCAATCCTTTCATGAAAGCCTCGTTGAATAATCTGACGTTATTACATTTCTAAACTCCTAGAAACAATTTTAGAAAACCTTCGTACAGGCTTTCCTGGCTCACAAAAAACGGTAGCGATTCTCGTAATGGGGCCATCGAGTGCCTATAAAACAGACGTCTGGCTATTATCGGCGGAGGGCATAAAAGGAACTTAAAATCATAATCCTAGTATAGTTGTACAAAGACTAAGCACTGCCATCGTTGCTACATTTATCAGAATACTCAACAGTAAGGGAAATTTCGGAGGGGTGTCCTATAATATTGCAGCAGTCCTAAAGCCATGCCCCAGGATCACTGGTGGGCTTTGACACACGAATGCGAATATTAGTCGAAATGGGCCGACAGTAAAGAAAAAAGGAAAAGAATCCGTCGGAAACGCTTAGGTTGAGGGCTCACTCACCTTCCTAATCGGCTGTGCTAAGGGAATGAGAGACTAAGCGCGGAGAGGAGAGTATGAGGCGAGAGAGCGCTACAGATGAGAGAGCGCCAGACAACAGCCTGATAAGAGAAAAAAAATCTGCAGCTCAGCAGCTTTACTTTGCAAGGCCCAAGCGCTCTTGTCGGTTGGTTTTCCGTGCACGGAACGTC